GGACCTGCTGGATTTCGGTGCAGAATTGTATTGACTGCCATGTTGGTTGGATGTGAGATGTGCTGACATAAGACAAGTCGGCGTACAGGCTTGTAATAAATAATGTTATAAGGAGTTCTTTATTCGCTGTCCTGAGACAACCTCTGTGATGACACAAATAAAACTGAATTGAATTTAATAATGGATGAGTAAGCCCCCCCCCCCGCACACTGCTGATAACGATAATGTGTGAGTGCGTTTTCCCATGAGGCCGCAGTCAGACAGGAAGCTCCCTGGGGAGACGGGGGGGGGGACAGCTGTTACTTCCATTAAAGGACAATTTAGCAGTTTGATCTGTTTCAGTCTGAGTGGAGGAGGAAGGTCAGAGGTCACAGGGTGTTTCCTACTTTCTCTCCTCGCTCACTCGTCTCCTGTTTACTCCTCTGGATCGACTGCCAGGACCTCGAACCAGACCAGAAACCAGAAACCAGAACCAGAAACCAGAAACCAGAAACCAGAACCAGAACCAGAACCAGAAACCAGGAACCAGATCTAGAAACCAGAAACCAGAACCAGAAACCAGAAACCAGGAACCAGAACCAGAAACCAGAAACCAGAACCCAGGAACCAGAACCAGAACCAGAACCAGAAACCAGGAACCAGAACCAGAAACCAGAAACCAGAAACCAGAACCAGAAACCAGAAACCAGAACCAGAACCAGAACCAGAAACCAGAAACCAGGAACCAGAAACCCAGGAACCCAGGAACCAGAACCAGAATCCAGAACCAGAAACCAGGATCCGGAACCAGAACCCAGGAACCAGGAACCAGAACCAGAACCAGAAACCAGAAACCAGAAACAGAAACCAGAACCAGAATCAGAAACCAGAAACAGAAACCAGAAACAGAAACCAGAACCAGAATCCAGGAACCAGAAACCAGAAACCAGAAACAGAAACCAGAACCAGAATCAGAAACCAGGAACCAGAAACCAGAACCAGAACAGAGGACAGATTTATGTTTGATATGTGGAGAAAAGTTATAAACCTTTATATTACGTGTCAATACAACTTTAATCTGTTTTATTATGAGTCTTGTTGTTGTTGTTGTTGTTGTTGTTGTTGTTTTTGTCCCAACTCTCAGACAATGCAAATCTGGACTTTCAAACGTCAGAAAAACTTACATAAAGTTTATTAATTCAAATCAACATAAAACATGAAGATTCACAGGATTATTTGTTTTATTGTATAATAACAATAACAACAATAATAATAACAATAACAATAATAACGACTTTATTTAACAGAGAAATATTAAAAGCAGAATAAAATGCAGTCGGTCCATCAGAAGGACAACGGCGCCATCTACAGGACCAACCGACCACTTCCTGTTTCTAATTATTGTTTATTCTTCAGAAATATAAAGAATATTAATAATAGTTAATAATATAAAAGCCTGACGCTGTATCATTAAGAGTTATGGTTGTTTTTAGATTCATTAGATATTAATTAATTATCTGTGTGCGATTAAGAACTAATAATTTATAATGAGGTTGCTGCTTTTCATTTGATTGATTGTATCTGCGATCGTTTGATTGGCTGTGAAGGTCTCACTGTGAATTCTGGGTAATTATGATGACATTTCCCTCCATTTTCAGAATTTTTACAAATCAATCAATAAATCAATCAATCAGTGGATTAATGGATCAATAATGAAAATCATCATTAAAGAGTTGAAAATGAGCTCTGACAGTAAAATCTGTCAATACGTCAGAATAAACAACAACAATAATCCCCCCCCCTCACCAACAGACCTCAGTGTGTGCGGGTGGGAAAGAACGCCTCCAGTGTCATCCTCAGCACCGGTTCCCCCCAGGGCTGCGTCCTGAGTCCACTGCTGTTCACGTTGATGACCCACGACTGCGGCGCCAAGTCCACTACTAACCACACCGTGAAGTTCGCAGACGACACGACAGCAGTGGGCGTCATCAAGAACAACGATGAACAGGCCTACAGAGAGGAGGTGAAACATCTGGCAGACCAACAACCTGATCCTGAATGTCTCAAAAACAAAAGAGATCATTGTGGACTTCAGGAAGAACCAGCGCAGCCACCCTCTTCATCATCAACAACACAGCAGTGGAGATCGTCAGCAGCACCAGGTTCCTGGGGGTGCAGATAACGGACTCTGTCACCTGGTCAAACCACACTGGCACCCTTGTAAAGAGGGCCCAGCAGCGTATGCACTGTCTGCGCTGGATGAGGAGAGTGCACCTACCCGCTCCCATTCTCACCACCTTCTACAGAGGAACTATAGAGAGCATCCTGACCAACTGCATCTCAGTCTGGTCGGCGGCCTGTAGTGCCTCTGACTGGAAAAGCCTACAGAGGGTGGTGAGGACAGCAGAGGAAATCATTAGGAGTTCACTTCCTCCCCTCCAGGACATTGCAAAGAAACACTGTTTGACCCCTCCCACCCCCACCATGGACTGTTCTCACTGCTGGCCTCTGGAAGGAGGTTCCACAGCCTGCAGGGCAGAACAGCCAGACTCAACAACAGCTTCTTTCCACATGCCATAAGACTGCTGAACGCCATATAACCATTCCCCCTTCTCTCCCCCTCCTCACCCACACACCTACAAAGGACTAAGCTATCTTATATTTATCTTATTATCTTTATATTGCGTTATCTTAATCTTTTATACAAAATATATATTTATCATATTTTTCTTATTTGTATTATATACAAAAGTTCTTTTGCATAGGCAACTACACTCTGCAATATATATTATCTACAGGTTTTTATATAAAAGTTTTATACTTGTATATGTATTTTAGTACTGTACATACTGCCTCTGTTTTAGCAACGTAATTTCATTTAGATACGAATCCAAATGACAAATAAAGTCTAAGTCATCAATACCAGTGATCGTACTGTAGAGACGACCTCCTCCTCCCTCTCCCCTCCACTCCTCCTCCTCCTCCCTCTTGCTCCCCCCCCCCCCCCTCCTACTCTTCCTCCTCCCTCCCCCTCCTCCTGTTTTATTGATGACCAGCAGACGGAGGCCGAGGCAGCCGAGCATTATGGGTCATATTTCAGTTTGTTGTTTTCAGTCTTTTAATTTGCTGTCAGACAGGAAGTACAGAAACTGTCATTAATATATAAACTATAAAATATATAAATATATACACATACATACATTTTATATAATAACTTATTTTACATTCAATCTTTTCTGTCTAATGATTAATTAAAGATATTTACAGTGTAAACAATGATCTATAAATCCAGGTGAACTCTGCTATAATACAATAATCAGACTTACATTTCCAGCAGAGTGCTGTTATTATTGGATTGTTATTATTTTAATGTGAATGTTAAAAGTTATAGAAGTGTAATAAAAGTCATTATCTGTGAGATTACAGTAATTATTGCTGTTTACACTGATAACAACTGTATTTGGACAGTTTACCTTATACACTGATAAACAACATTTATTCTACTTCCATCATTATACAACATATCTGTCAGTTAACTAAATACATTAAAATTACACAACTAATACTTTTATTTTAATAATTTAAATATTTTGTAATTTTATTAATATTTCTGTATTTTTAAAAAAATCTGTAAAATAAGCAGAAAAACAATTAAATGATTAAATTCTGTGTGGTACAATAAAGAGTACTGTTACTCCTAAATACTCGAGTACTAGTGTGTCAGTACAGAGAGTGAACAGGAGGAATAATTAAACTTATCACATTTATTAATTCATATTGATCCCAGTTTGCTTATTGTCTCTGAAGATTTTATTACCTTCAAAATAAAACTTGGCTGCAGATGTTCCAGATGTTTATGTTGAATATTACAGAGATAATTAGTCAGTTTCACTGCTGCAGCCAGAGTCATTACTCACAGCGCCCCCTGCTGGACCAACACCCTCACTGTTAGAGTCCATTACTCTGTTAGAAACAGCAATAAACTCATTTACTGTCAGTTAATTAGGATTATTTATTATTTCCTATAAAGTTGTTGAGCAACTGTAACAACCAATATTCCCCCCGAGGATCAATAACTTATTTCTGATCAGTTACCAACATATATTATCACAAACATGTTTCACTGTATTATTAATTATTAATTAAATATAATTATATCAGATAAAATAACACTGACAACAGACCTATAATTTCATTTAGTTTTCTTTATAATAAAGTCACAGAAGCTGTCAGATAATTAATAATTAATAATCAATATCTTAGACTGTAAAACTGGATGAGTTGGTCCTTATAATATTTATTGTTAGTCATTTGGATAAATTCAGTTAGTTATTTTTCCAAACTTATTTAAAACGTGTTCACAGAATTTGAATTAATAAAGTCACTTAAATGAAACTTTACACAAACGTTAGAGTTAAATTCAAATAAACAAACAACTGACGGACAATAAAAACTATTGATTATTAATTAACATTAGCTTCACACTGAAGGATCATTAAGAACTATTTTAATGCTAAGCTATTTAGCATTAAAATGCTAACATCGTTATGATAGAAAGTCAACTTCAGGGTCAAACTGGATTTATATCGTTAATACTTATAATAAATAATATATATTATAATAAATAATATTGTTCACATTAATGAAACTCAATTTAGTTTAATGTGAACGACTTTGTTAAAATTAACATGAACATTTAACTATTACAAAATTATTTTCTCTTTTAATCAGCTGTTATTGATCGATATGAAATAAACAATATACAAATTATATATAATCTATAGATTATATTTATAACTGTAGAAACAATAACTTTATATTAAACTCTGACCTCAGTTAATGAAGCACAAACCGAGGTTTCAGTCCTTGATCCTCGTCTTACAGGCCCCTGCAGGGGACCGGGTTCGGGACCAGGTTCGGGACCGGGTTCGGGACCAGGTTCGGGACCGGGTTCGGGACCAGGTTCGGGACCAGTCCTCTATAAAGTCTTAAACACAGACTGAAATAATCTCAGAGTCTCATTTTTTTCCTTTTGTATTTTTTTAATTCAAAACCCCTCAATATGTTTAATTACACCACAAAGTCAAACACAGTTTCCCCACAGACGGGACGAGGGAGGAAGTAAACGGGGTCAAAGGTCAAAGACGTGGGTCAACTATCACCTCGCTGCAGAAAAAACAAACATCTGTAAAATGATTTAATTCTTTAAAAACAATAAAAACAAACCTGAAACTGAGTCTATTTACAATATTGCCTTAAAAACCAGTTAAAACTGACCTCAGCAGCTCACCGACGCGACCTTTGACCTCTACACTCTTAAAAATGACTCCACGGCCGCCGTTCGCCCGCTTACACCAAACCTTCCTCCAGAGGACGTCTCCGACAGAAGAGCAGATCTTAAAAATCGTAAATAACGTTTCAGAAAGTTACGATAAATCGGACGAATCGCCTGAAGACAAAACAAACATGGCTGCCCGGCGTCAGCTACAGTCGTGGTTACAGACTCCGTTTAAAGCTTCAGTAGCTGCGAGCTGTCGGACTGTTTACCATCCACTGTTTACATCTTGCTGTCGGACGTCTGGAAGTTATCAGAGAAACAAGCTGAGCTAACGTTAGCTGCTAACCCATTTTTAAGAGTGTAAACGAGAGGAAACTTTACAGCAGTTTGATTCGCCGTCAGAGCTGCTTCATCGGGACCGACAGCCGACTCGCCAGGACGGAAATCAACGTATTGATTATTTATAATCTTATTGGATGATTTACTTCCTGTGAGCTCGGGGTCGGTCCCGTTTAACACGACTACAGGAAGTAAAAAGTTGCTGCTCGCGTGGCCGCGGAATCCCACGCTGAGCAGCGACACCTGAATCAGACGCCACGGGTGTGTCCTCTTTCAGGCTCCGCCTCCATCGCAGACTGAGTCCATTACAACCTCCGTTTCCCACAATCCACTGCTCACCCGTCAATGCGAGGTGCATTCAAGTGCAGACTCGGGGAGCTGTGGGTTCAGGTCTTTTTTTAGGAGGCGGAGCCTGAAGTGTGACACGGCGGCGGTCTGAGCATGGCGAGGGGACGGGCGGGTTGAGGACGAGCCGCTCGCTTTCACATCAAACTAAAAAAACAAACAAAAACTCTTCAGGGACAAAAACAACAAACACATCAGAACTAACATTTCCTCCCCCCCGCCCCCCAACCCCCCTGGAAACCCCCTGGAAACCCCCCCTGGAAACCCCCTACGATAAATCAAACACACACTGGGAACACGGAGCTCTACGGAGAGTTTCTAACGGCGCAGACAGCGGAGTCAATGTGATCCAGTTCAGGGACTAAAGGGTTCACACGTGACGGCGAATGGAAGATCCTGAATCATGTGACGTCCCCGACGGGTCCTGAAGGGGGCGCTCTCCTCTCCGGTTTCAGAGTCTGGGAACAGATATGGCTGCAGAGAGAGAACCGGGTTCTGATCGTGGATCATCTTGGACTGTGGGTCCGGTCTGATATGCTGGAACCGGCCCCGCTCTCCTGAGAACGCCATCGCTTCCTGTTTGTTGAGCCGGTAAGGAGGAAGTTCCTGATGCGAGACGGCTCGAGACTTTCGAGGCTCCGGGTTTTCCTGAAAGCTGCGATGAAACTGCGGAAGGCTGGACGGTTCCCGCTCGTAGAAAGCAGACAAATAAACCCGGAACAGACCAGAAGACTTCAGAGCGGATTATCCGCCGCCGCTTACGTGCAGCTCCTTCATTCTCACACAGAGCGCCGCGAGGCGGGAACACGGCGGGAACACTTTGAGAATTAATATGAAAGTCTTTTCATATTAAAATTCTAAATGTTTAATCACAATATTCTTTTATTTTGTTTGGAAATATTTTCTGAATATTTCAACTTAAAATAATTAATAATAATTATCTTTTAGAAAAACATTTTAAGTTTTGGAAACAAAAACATCTGTATTTCATATTGAATATATATATATAAAATTTTATGTTTTCAATTGCAACTGTTTAATTTTCAAACAGCAAATAATAAACAATCAGATTCACAACTCACTGATTTTCAAAATAAAATAAAGTAATGTGAAATACAGATGTTTTACAGTGTACACGGTGACGTCGATTCAGCCTCGTTAGCATCACTGCTAGCAAACAGCTGGAACACAATAGAGTGGAACCGGGACCGACGGATCCGATCAGAAGTCTTCTGGTCTGATCTGGATTGGGAAGCTCTCTCCAGCTGTAGAACAGAAGTTTGTTTCTCCCGGAGTGAGCGTCCGGTCCCTGAAGAAGAAAATACACCTGATGTTAGCGCGAGTCGTCGGCAGCGTGACGCGAGCAGGAAGAACCGGAGGAAAGATCTGAGTTAGTGACATCATTCTGGTTTTGTGCTAACAGGAAGTTGTCCAGGATCAGAGTCCAGGATCAGAGTCCAGGATCAGAGTCCAGGATCAGAGTCCAGGATCAGAGTCCAGGAGGCGGGGAGGAGGTTTAAAGGGTGAAGTTTTGATAAGATCTAGAATAAAGCCGTGAG